CAAGAATAAGTTTTCCTTATGCTCCTCTTTTAAACATTTTCTTTTAAGTATTGTGGGTTCATTGCTATTTATATTTTTGTAAATATTATTACCAACAATGACACAATAGTGAAGTTAACATTACTTTTCATCATTTATTAGCAATTAATTTTGGAATAGTCAATATTTTGAAATGTCATGGGTGATTATGAAAAATAAAACATTTCAATTAATTTTCAATGATAAGACCTGCTTAGTTATTTTTTAATTTAGATCTCTACTTGGATATACTTCTGTACTGAGCTCACTGAGATAAGGTTGTCACTCCTGTGTTTCTGTCTACCCCACTTATATTCCTTGCAATTTTCTTTTATTATTTTAATGATCTCCAATTTGAAGTTTAATTATGATCAACAGGTAGTCAATATGATTTGCTCTCATTTATGACTGTAAAATATCTTTCTTTTTCTCACTTTAGGATTATTACTTTGACCTCAAGTTTATAGGTCTCTTTTTCTACATTCTTATTTTAATAACAGGTTTCTCCAAACTTCATGGAAATTTGGTAACACATACTTTTTCATATAAAAGCTAAGTTTATATTTAATGAGTTGATTTGTAGACTACTTAAATATTTATGAACTTGTGAGGATTAGTCTTCCAAAGTTTCAAGAATAAATTTTTTTCTAATATCTTGGAGATTATATTTGCAAATAGATATTTAAACAGTAATAACACTCTTCGCTTGGTCCAAGAATGTTTTTCCTTTGACTGAAAGTGAATCTTAAAGACAGAAATAAATGTAGCCAAAGACTTTGCTTGAAACCATATAAAATAATTCAAATATTAGAATAGTGACACATACCAGAGATTTTGTCCTCCCTGCAACAAGCACCATACAAAATCTGTTGATATGATAGTTACAAATCAATAATATTTGTTCAGTTCCATAACAATTGTTTGCTGAGCCTCTATTACCTGCACTTACCTTGTACTAAGCATTGCTATAAACAATCATCTAATTTAATTTTTTTTTTTTATTTATTTATGATAGTCACACACACAGAGAGAGAGAGAGGCAGAGACACACACAGAGGGAGAAGCAGGCTCCATGCACCGGGAGCCCTACATGGGACTCGATCCCGGGTCTCCAGGATCGCACCCTGGGCCAAAGGCAGGCGCTAAACTGCTGTGCCACCCAGGGATCCCACATCTAATTTAATTCTTACAATGGTATGTGAGGCAAATGTTTGCTTCTTATTTACAGATGAGAGAATTGAGCCCCGAGAAGTAAAGTGACTTCTTAAGATCACACAGCTAAAAATTGGCCACAGTAGGATATGGACTCTAGTCAGTTTAATGCCAAAGGCATTGCATTTTATCAGTTTTGCTCCTGCATTTAATATACCCTTTCCAGGATTTGAGTGAATAAAGAGATGTTAGCTTAGTAAGGATGAACTATATTTACAGAAAACAATATAACTGTATTTAGGTGCACAATTTGTTTTTTTTGGTTTTTGTTTTTTTTTTTTTTTTTTTTTTTTTTTTTGCTAGGTTAGGTAGGTCTTTTAGCTATCGTGAATTAATGAGTATTTTTTGTATTATATATTTTTTGTATTTTGTATTATGTAGTTTTGTATAATTATATACTACGTATTATTATGTATTATTGTGTAATTATGTATTATCTATTTTTGTATAATTATTATCTATTTTTGTATTATGTATTTTGTATCGCTACTAGTATTTTTGTATTATGACATTATCAGGGACTGAATGATTTTAGAACCTGAATTGTATCCGGGTCTTGCAAAAACATTCATTTACTTTAAGGATAAAAAATAATGATCTGAACAATTTGCAAAGTTTTCACCATAACGACATCACGCGAACTTATATTTGGAAGCTCAGGCTGCAGGTCAGCCACGAAAGCCTTGGAGGGAGACTCGGATCTCCAGGGGTAGGGGGGTAGCGCGGGGTTGGGGGGTGGTTCCCACAATCTACAGCCGGTGCGCAGGGCAAGGAGAGTCTCAGCGCAGGAGGCACTGAAGGCCCCTTTCTGGGCCACTGGTGCTCTCTGCAGGTCAGATGGATGCTTTACAGCCCTGGTTTCTACTGTTGAAAAGGTCTCAGCAATGAAACATTGAGTTAAAGGGCCCACTGTCGTTCCTGTGTCTGGCAGTTAACTAGGTATTAGCTAGGGTGACGTGATCACATGTCTCTCCTCCTTCAAGCCAGTCTGGGCTGTTCACTTGGTAGAGGTCGCCAGAAGAACTGACAATTTCAGAGTATGTTTTCCTTATGCCTCTCAACTGCCTTTTGGAAAAATTTTTTTTTTAACATTTTATTTATTTATTCTTGAGAGAGACATAGAGAGAGGCAGAGACATAGGCAGAGGGAGAAGTAGGTTCCATGTGCGGAGCCTGATGCAGGACTCTATCCCAGGACTGTGGGATCATGATCTGAGCGGAAGGCAGACGCTTAATCACATAATCAGCTGAGCCACCAGGCACCCTTCAGTGTCTGTATTTTTAACTATGTATTCAACGTTGAAGAATTTTTAAAAGATGCTATTTAAATTAAGACATTGCTATTAGGATTAATATTAGGTCGTTACTTTTCACACTCAGGTAGTAAAGTTAATGTGAACAGCATGAGACCATTTAGGATGATCAAAATTAAGCATTATCCTTGCAGTTTTGGATACTGTAAAACCAGAACAAGACATGATATTTCTCTTCATTTAACTAGATTTGATTTTCTTTGGTTGCTTAAGTTTTCCTGTAATTTCATGCTACTAATATGCTTCTCATAGCATAGCAGTGATAATTTGAAGTATGATGTTTAGGTCAGGAGACAAGATTCAACTGAAATGATTTTTCTGAAGTTAAACCATGATTAAACTGCTGTCTAAGATACAGTACTTAACAAACAAATGTGATCCATGTACCTATTTGAAAGAGTTAAATAATGTAATCATCTTAGTCTGCTTGGGCTGCTATAACAAAATACCAATCAACTTGCTATAGACTGTTCTGGACACTGGGAAGTCCAAAGATCAAGGTGACAGCAGTTTGGTGTCTGCTGCTGGCCCACTTCCTGGTTCATAAGTGGCCCAATTTTAACCTCACATGTCCTTATATGGAGGAAAAGGACAGAGAGCTCTCTGACGTCTTTTTCATAAGGCATTAATTTCTTCGTGAGGGTTCCACTCTCATGACCTAATCACCTCCCAGAGGCCCCACCTCCTAACACCATCACACGGGGGATTAATTTCATTTCAGCATATGGACTTGTGGGGGAGGGGGGGGGACACAAACATTCAGTGTATAGCATTTACTGTATATGTGAAAGCAACTGTATCTTGCCTAACCCTTTCCCACGCAGGACTCATAATTTAAAAAAGAAAGATAAAACCGACAAAACAAACAAAACCTACTTTTATTCTTCTGATAGCACTGAAGAGTGTGCCTATAACTATATATCAACTTTAGTTCTTAAATTTTTACAAAAGATTTATTTATGTATTTATAATTAATTAATTAATTACACTCCCTGCTGAGTGTGGAGCCTGAACCCAGCTCAACCTCAGGACCCTGAGATCCTGACCTGAGCTGAAACCAAGAGCCGGACGCTTCACCAACTGAGCCACCCAGGTGCCCCGTATAGGTCAACTTTAAATTTATTTTAATTTCAGCCTCCCTATCTTTGCTGTTCAGCTTATCACCATTATTGGTTCCTTGAGTCATCAGCTCTGCAAGGTTTAACCACACATGAAACCTCCAATTCTTCAATTTCTGTTTGCTATAAGAGCATTTTAGTGCCTGTATTTTCAGTTCTTACCCTGGCCCAGCCCTCAATGTTCCTCAGTTTTGTAGAAGTAGAGAATATTTATATTCTGTTTTATGACAATAGTGAAGTACTGAGTGATGTGCGTATAGGTTTTTGCCTAAACAAAAAAGCCTGCATTTACATTACTATGACCATAGAAATTGTTCACTTCAAAGTCAGGTAACATGGGGTGGCTGGTGGCTCAGTGGTTGAGCGTCTGCCTTTGGCTCAGGTCATGATCCCGGTGTCCTGGGATCAAGTCCCACATCAGGCTTTCCACAACAGGGAGCCTGCTTCTCCTCCCTCTGCCTGTGTCTCTGCCTCTCTCATGAATAAATAAATAAAATCCTTAAAGCAAAAACAAAAAACAAAGCCAGGTAGTGCACCATGGTTATATTACCTTTCTAAAGCTGCCGTAATGTCATAGATCTGTGCCATGAGGTAGAAACTGTCCCCAGCATTGGATACAAATGGATGACCCTGATTTATGCTGAAACAATTCTTCCATCCTATCTTCATGATTTTCTAGTGGTCTTGATTGGTGTTGAGCTGTTATCCTGGGCGCGTTGTCATTTTTATGTTAATTTAGACCTTTAAAAACAGATCGTCTTTCTAATGGAATCTCAGATGGGAGGTGGGATAAACAAATAAAAAGATTATTATCACATAGTAGTATATTAAGCAAGAGATGCTGAGAGGAGAAATTTTAAAAGAAAGAATATTGCCTATCACCACAGGACCAGCGAACTTTAGGTCTAGAAGTCTCTCCTTTATCTTACAAATCTGAAAACAAGGCAGAGTAAATTAATTTTCTAAAATTATACAACTAGTTAGTATCAGTCTAGAATGAATGGTGATTCTCTCTGAGGAGATTCTTTATTTCTTACCTGATGAGTTCTTAGCTGCTTTTATGGGTACCTAATGACTATTTGGGCTTAAAGAATTAGACCTTGGTGCACCTGGCACCTTTAGATAACTCAAATCGATAAAGGCTTAATAAGGTATTTTATTTTTAGTTGGCCTATCCTTTGTGCACTCTCAGCTTCCTGCACTCCTCAGAGAGCAAGGAGAAGCTAGAGGCTTTTATTAAGCAAATCTCAACATAGTAGAGCAAGACTGCAGCTAATGTAGTTCCTCTTCAGTTTCCTTCAGGGAAGAAAAAAGTTATTTTTTAAACTCCCTTTCAATTTTATTTTGCAATATTTTATGTAATTATACTGCAGTTAAACTTTAACCAGAGACTGATCACTCTAGGTTGTCATTTTTATTTTTCAATTAGCAATAATCGCGCCTCGGATAAACCTCATTGGCTACGATACTGCCACTGCGCAAAGCTCATTTTTATTTTTCAAAACTTAAAATATAATTTGAGCTGATTTACCCCAGTGAATATAAAATAATTTTAGCATTTTAAATTGAAATTTCTTATTGACGACAATAAGTGGCAAGGAGCACGGTAAAATATTTTTGTGTGTTTGGGCAGTTTTTTCCAGGTATAGAATTGCAAAGGACATTATATAATATATTGCTTCACTAATGCCCCTGAGATTATAGGACACAGACTATTTTGTTAGTCTAAACTATGGGGTTTAGATTTTGAAGAGTAAAGTAAAAGCTACAAATCTAGGTTAACACTTCTCTTCAATTGATAGTTTATAAGAAAATTAAAATTCCATTTCCATCACAATTTTTCTTCAAAAGTGTTACCTACCTTTTAAGTCTTGTCGAGATAGTGTTTTCAGAGTTAATGCTCTTCCCTTATAAATTCATAAACACTAAGAGCTGGAAGAAAGACAAATTCAATCCAACCCACTAACTTTATAATTAGGTAAACAGAAGCATTGAGACTGTAAATGACTCCTTCACATAGGTCCACAACTAACTACTGGTAGACTTGGTGATATCTAACCAATTTTTGATACTTTGTAGTTCCATTTTTATTCAGTTCAACATATTTTTAAATTTCTCCTTATAACTTCTTTGATACTTGATTACTTAGAGATGTTATTTAATTTCTGAACATTTGGGGGATTTTGTAGATATTTTCCCCCTGTTGATTTGTGATTTAATTCCACTGTGGCTGGAAAATACTCTTTGCATGATTTCATTTCTTTCCAGTACATCAGGACTTTATTTATGACACAGAAAATCATCTCTTTTAATAAGAACTCTTTGGAACACATTTTTTTCCTTTTTCTTTCTTCTTTCTTTCTTTCTTTCTTTCTTTCTTTCTTTCTTTCTTTCTTTCTTTCTTTCTTTCTTCTTTTCTTCTTTTCATTTGTTAGAAATCATCCACTGAGAGTGTAATTGTATTTGCTGGGAAGCTTGTGCTGTCTGTAGAACTTTCTGGGAATCTGTCCGTGGGTGTCTCATGGAAACTTAGCTGGAAGTGAGCTCAATTGGGTGGAGCAAGAAAAGAAAAAAAGCACCTCTGAAGGATAAAAAGAAGCCCCTTCCTCCTCTGCCTGTATCCCTCAGGGTCCCTCTACTGGCAAAGCTGACCTTGTTGCCAGCTGGAAAGGGAGAAATATTTAAGATTCAGCTCCATGATCACAAATAAGAATGAAGAGTGGATTTGGACCTGAGAGGCAATGAATTGATGTAACTGACACACCTTTAATAGTTTTATTTGCATAATTCTAGCTAACTTTTGTTAAAATATATTTTATTTTCTCTCTTGTCTTTTATTAATAATAATCATCATCAACAGCAAGGAGACTAGAAATTAAAATTAAAATCCTTACGATAGCCACAAAATAAGTAGAATCATATGACATTTCCTATAATTTTTATCTTTAATTATTAATGCAATAAAATTAAGCTGTCACAAATAAATGGATTTATCAGTAGATGGTGCTATATGCCTTATATTTTAATTTTTTTCAGTGAGCTTAACAATGTTGATTGTTGATTTATTGTTGATTTCCCTTTATATAACTGTTACATACCTTTAAAGAGGTATAGAATGCACTTATATTTAAGCAATTTACAAAAATACTTAAAATTTAAATCATATTTGACAAACTGGGCATACTCAGAATACTAAAAAATGCAAATAGGAAAAAATGCAAGCAGTGAAGCTTTCAGAGTAGTACACATTCTGGCAGCTGTCTGTAAGTTAGTTCTTAATTGTGAGTACTTCGGTTTGTGTAAAAAATAAAGTAAAATTGATGGAAAATACTAGAATCACTCATTAAACCACTTTTGGATTGATTTTTGAGTAACTTTAGGTATTCACATTCGTTCTTACAAATTAGAAGAGATGGTGTGGTGAAGAGGAGCATTGGAGACAGCTTTCCCTAGTTTATTTATCTAATCAAAAATGTTAGTTTTAGCATAATACTTGCAATCAGATTGTAGAAATAGAAGCTAGTGTTGCCTAGAGTTTTGACAAAAGGTAAGTAGTTAGCAGATTGTGCTAAGAATGAGAGCTGGACATGTGCCAGAGATGGGAATGTTTTATGATTGCCAGGAAATAAAGTGTAGATATAAGTCATATTCAAACTTTTACCAGCTTAAAAACTTCAATCATGTGATTTCAGTTATATAGGAATCTAAAAAATGAAGACAAATGAACAAAGCAAAACTCATAGATACAGAGCAAAGATTGGTGGTTATCAGAGGGGAATGATGTTGGGGTAAATGAAAGGGGGCAGGGGGCCAATTGGATGGTGACAGATGATAACTAGACTTGCTTGTGATCACTTTGGACTGTATGCAAATATCAAATTATTATATTGTAAACCTGAAACTAATATAATGTTATATATCAATCTTACCTCCATAAAAATGTCAATGATAAATATTGAACCCATTTTTTCTATTTTACACACAAAAATGTAGATTCTCATATTAGAAAAAGGAATATCATTTTGCTTTGGAGAGTACATACCATTTATATGCTAAAAGTAGAGCTCAAGATTTGACTTATAAGACTTTACAGAAACCTAGTGATTTCAGAACACTGCTGCGCATTACTCTTTCTGACAACACTGTCCCAGTTATTTTGGGAGGATCGTCAGTGGAATATATTTTGTTGTTTGTCTTCCAGTTTACAAATGCATAATTTGTATTTAAATAGTCTTTACCTATAAACATGTACCTCTACAACACTTCACTTTTACTCAAGTCTCTGTTACTGTTGCTGTAAGCATCAGTAACAAACAAAACTTTTAGATCTGTTTTTCTTGGTGTGACCTGTATCAACAGAATTCTGTGGGATACTTAAGAAATGGCTCCTTTAAGAGTGGAAGTCAGGCCTTGTATTCTATAACATGTTTCCTCCCATTTCTGAATCTACAGAACCATATATTTTTCTGTATGGCTCATTCTCTACTGAAAAGCAAGGGAGAAAAACCTAAAAAATAATATAGTAGCATAATCACAGTTGCCAAATTTACATATAGGTTTACATGTATTCTTTTTTGTTTGTTTGTTTTCATGTATTAAAAAAATAGTCTACAATGGGTGGAAATCAAGGACTGGTACAACAGGGTTAGTATAGGAGATATTCTGAATTCTAAATAGGTGACTTACAAATAAAGGCTTTTGAGTGATAACTAATTTAAATATTGACAGTCACAGGCATATATGTGTGTGTGTTCTTTATCCCAAATATCAAGCCATTGTTATTTAAAGAAAGTGACTTATTAAGAGGTTTCCTTATAACATAATGTTGAGTTTTGAAACCTTAATTATTTTTATAAGTTCTCTTTTAAGTTTTGAAGGTTTTTTTTTAATGAAATTCATTTGCTGTTCCCAAAGAGGATCACTTCATCTTCTCATATCTGTGGCCTAATTTGGGTCTTCTCTATTTTCTGCTGTATGCTTTCATCTCATTGTTGCTTTGTTACAGCAATGTCGAGGAATGCTAAATTAATTTCAAGTTTCTGTAGTTTCTCTAATGTCGATTAATATAAATTAACTAAATGATAGAATAGTAGAGGAAGAAATGCATTTTCAGAAAGGCTGAAATGTACTTCTAAAATAAACCTAAAAATTATTGTACTATCATGTGCTTTAAAAAAACCAATTTCTTAAAGAACACTCTACTCCCAATGTGGGGCTCAAACTCACAACCCTGAGATCAAAAAGTGCATGCTGTACTAAGTAAGCCAGCCAGGCACCCCTGTACTGTCATGTACTTTAATAATTAGTGTAGCAGCCCCGGTGGTCTAGCAGTTTAGCGCCGCCTTCAGCCCAGGGTGTGATCCTGGAGACCCAGGATCGAGTCCCACGTTGGGGTTCCTACATGGAGCCTGCTTCTCCCTCTGCCTGTGTCTCCACTTCTCCCTCTCTCTCTGTGTCTGTCATGAATAAATATATAAAATCTTAAAAAAATAATTAGTGTAGTATGGGGACCCCTGGCTGGCTCAGTCAGTAGAACGTGTGACTCTTGCTTTTGGGGTTGTTAGTTCAAGCCCCATGCTGGATGTAGAGATTACTTAAAATCTTTTAAAAAATAATTAGTGTAGTGTGGTGATCATGAGGTGTGCTCTTTTTTGACAGATTTGTCACTGTCGAATTCAAAATCTGAGCTTTCCTATTTTTTCAATAAGAAAAACAAAATAAACCTAGAGGTCAGATGTTTAGGGTTATGCAATATATTTAAAAATATATCCTAAGAATAACACAATTTTAACATTTGAACATTAACATTCATCAATGAGAAAGCAAGGGGTGTTTGTTTCAGAAACAATAACTGAATCTTTTTCAGTTTTGTGTTTTCTCTTCCTCTTCCTTTTTTTCCCCCTTTCCTTCTCTTTCTTTTCATTCCTAAATATCTCTCCAGAACAGTTTTGTCCTAAAGTTCTAGGTAGAAGGGCAGAGAAATATAGGAAGGGGGAAAGGGAAGAAGCAAAAGAGGGAGAGAGAGAATGAGAGAGGCTAAGAGTGGAGGGTCAGAGACCTAGGAAGGAGGATAGCTGCTTGATGCAGAGCCTGAGCAAGGAGAGAAGGAAGCTCCTATGACAGGGCACCTGGTGAAGGTGTCAGAACAGGGGGAAGAGGGCATTCTAGCAGGCAGCAGATCTAAGGTGGGGAGTCAGAGACCATGCAGGGTAAGGAGAGGATACATGTGGGGGCATAAGCATGGAAATCTGAGTAGGCTGAGTGTGCCCACACAGTGTGCAGTGTCTTGGCCAGAGTACTGTGGTGAATGGCATCCCTGCAGTGGGGAGCCATGACCCTGAGCACCAGAGCACACTCAGGGTAAGGACAGCAAGCATAAGGTGGTGAGAGATGACATGCTGTGCACATTTCTGAGCATCTGAGGCAGCTCTGTGAGGGGTAGTGGACATCACAGTGGGTCTCAGCACATTTGGATTTAAAACTATA